GTTGCAAGAAGAGGCTTCAAACAAATCGGATCATTAGTTTCAGCAGAGAGAGGCACCCTAGTAACGATGGCTATTGCAGTTTCTGCCGGTGGTAACAGTGTACCTCCTTTTTTTGTATTCCAATTAATTGTCCATTATAAAGAACATTTTATCCGCGACGGTCCTCAAGGATGTATGGGAAGCGCAAATCCTTCTGGTTGGATGAAGGAAGAATATTCCATCCTTTTTATGAAGCATTTTGTCAACAATGTCAAGTGCATTAAAGATAGGCCTGTTCTACTCTTGTTGGATAACTACGAATCACATCTTTCGATTCCGGCATTAGATTTTGCCAAAGAAAATGGGGTTATAATGCTATCATTTCCTCCTCATTGTTCCTACATGCTCCAACCTCTAGATCGAAGTGTGTTTGGTCCTCTCAAAAAATTTGTGAATTATTCTTGTGCCCCATGGATGAAAAATCATCCCTGTTCAACAATATCTATATATGATATTCATGGAATTGTCGCCAGTTCTTTGCCACATGCTATTACGCCTGTTACCATTATGTCAGGATTTCGGGTGACTGGAATTTATCCGTTGAACCGAAACATTTTCACTGAAGCCGATTTCCTGCCAAGCTACGTCACTGATCGCCCAATACCACCAGAAAACAATAATATTCAACAACAAATGCATAACAGCGAAAAAAATTCAGCTTCATCGTCAAACCAAGAAGCCATAGGAGTCACTTTTCTCAAAGCCACTATTCCGGAAGTCGATGCTCTGAAAGCCATTGAACCCAAAACTCCTGTTTCCGAAACCACAGCTTCTTGTTCAACGTTTGCCACAACAGTTTTATCACCGGAAGATATTCGTCCATTTTCAAAAGCTAGTGAGCGAAAAAAAAAAAAGAACGGCGGGCGAAAAAAGGGAAAGTCTGCTATTTTGACAGATACCCCTATAAAAGATGAAATAGCAGCTTCAAAATAGCCAAAGGCAAAACAATTTAAAAAAAAAGTGAGACCGAGAAAAAAGTAACCACACAAAGAAAAAGAGCTAAAGAATTAAAACTCATCGACAAAGAAACGGTAAGTGATTATGAAGAAGAAACATTTTGCATCGTGTGCCATGGACCTTACAGTTCCTCAATGGTAGAAACAAAACAAAAACCACTAAGATTCTATATCCAGGATATTTTTTTTACAATTGCGTTGTAAATAGTATTTGTAACATATGAAAGTCCAATATTAATTTACTGATGTCCTTATAAATTAAAAAAAAAAACTGGAAAAAAATGTTTTAGTTAATTTTGCGACAACAAGCCCCGGTCTCCCTTATTCTAATCTCTTAATATGTGGTGTTTCCTCAGCTCACGAAACAGAAACAGAGTGTATAGCTTTAAACAATTGGGCAAGTTGAAAGGTCGGTGCTCTCTGATTAGTTCTTGAAAACCTTTGGTAACTCAAAACGAAATTAAATGATCAACTTGATAAATGTAAATAAACCAATTGATCCGCTGCGCCTGGTTCAGAGAAATGCGAATGACCGGATTAATACGAATTAAAGTTACTTGAACATCAGTTACAGAAATTAATTTGAAGCCAGGAGGTGCTATGTTCAAAAAAGCTGAGCTCCTTAATTGAAATTTAATGTGAACCGTGATATATCACGATATTACCAGAGATGTCCGCTTTGCCTGCCATTTTCGTGAATGATGTTTAGAGTTTCAGCGACTGATATAACTTCTTCCTGACTACTTCGAATTCCGTGTAATATTTTCAAACTTTCTTGACTTTACATTGTACCTAAAGAAATGTTGATGTTTTTGAATGAATTAACTCGGAATTTGCTATAATTTTCAACAAATTATTTTTTAGTTAGCTTTAGCGTGGCTTTCTCTGCTTTGTACTTCACCAAGTTGGTATCAGCGTGAATGCTTAAGAATTTTTGAAATTTTTTGCTTTTGTCTATAATGATAAGATTGCCTTCTGGACCCATCAGAAGGTTTTTGGTTTGGTTTTGTTATTTTCCACCTACCTGTTACCTCTGCGACCACAGATATTGCTTGTTTATTTGATTGTCTCTCCAATTATTTAGCGATTTTTTATCACCGTTTCTTTGTTCAGTATTTTAAAGTAGTATCTTATTGGTCAAATCTATTTTTTCTGTTACTCTTTGTTTATATGTTGGTTCCTCTCTTTTTGGTCGTGGTCGAGCACTTTTAACCTGACCATTCGCGATTTCAAAAATCTAAACTCTCCTCAGTTCAAATTATAAACTACATAAACGATTGACATTTGGATTACTACCTTTGTTTATATTTAGTATTGTGATTTGTTTTGTATAAAGTAGATACATTGTTTTAGTAAGCTTTGAAACAAGCAGAAAGTATGGAACAAATTGAATTGATAACGTGTACTTTGATAACCTACAAGTGAGTCAGTTTGTATTATTTTTTTAATGTTATAGCTTTAAAAAAAGTAAAAAAATCCGGTGTCAGGAAGTTTGGACTTTGGAATAAATAGACCCATCTTTAAGTGGAATTCAATATTTCAATGTTTATAGGCTACAACAGTCAGCACGTGCTTAGTTGAAAAAGAGATACTACTAATAATATAACATTACAAGACATTTCCATTGCTGGGATTTTGACCAGATGGTGTTATGCTTAAAGATGGAAAACCCTATAAGCGACAGGAAATCAAATGTCCTTTATCACTTCTAATTGCAGAATAATAGTTTATTCTTAAATCACCGCTGGTTTCTTGAATCCTACTTCTGACAGGTTCTGTAAAACCGATTAACATAAAAAAATGAAAAATCAGAAATACATGTTGCATTACTTAATTATCCAGTACTGCACATGATCGTTACTTACCTGTTTCAGATAAATATTTAAAAGTAATTTGGCATGGTGTTTTAGCAATGTTCGGAAAATATTTACTTTTTCTTTAAGGTTTAGCAATCGCCTTAAAAAAATTTAAGGAACATAAATAAATATAGTTTTTGCAAACAGTGTGTTAAGTAAGTGTTCACTTTGTACCCACTTTGTATGCCTTCAGGAAAACAGAATCTATTTTGTTGTATAAAAATTTATATAATACGTGGTAATAATAATTAAACCAAAACAACGCAAATGTCCAAAAACAACATTTAAAATTAGCATTTTAGCAGCAAGGCTCACTAACATGGAGCAGATCTGCAGACATCAAGAATATATCAAAATAACAAATGTGAAATTAATAACATATTTATTTAATTTGGTTAAAAACTACTATATACCATTATACGTAGTTTTACTAAATTCTAAAATATATCGCACCAAATGTGTAGTTCTACGACTGGACTGTCATCACAAGTTCATATTTGATGATCATGTAGTCTATTTGGACTTCTCTACCATTTTACCATCATTTACTTTGATAATTTGGATTAAATGAATTATTACAGATAAGTGTAGCTAATAAAAAAATGCCGTCTTGAAACAAAATTATACATAGAAATTAAGTAGCGGTTTTCGTACATTAACAGCTCAGATCGGACAAAATAATAAGTTACAATAAAGCTGCAATAGATACGTAATTTGCGCTTTAATACAGGTTTCAAAGCGCCACTTCTAACACTTTTTGTTACAATTAGTAATAATATGTTTCAAATTCGGGAATATTAGGAATTTGACCTATTCTCATATGGTGTGTTTCTTTCAGTAGATACAAATGGTCAAGCTTTTGAATAAATACAATTCTTTTATGGACTAGAGTTCACAATAGGAATAAAAATGTGTTTTAATTCTAGGGACCCATCTGCATAATGGCACCTATAGAATGATAGTGAAAATAAATATCTATACTCTATTTATTGCTAGCATCTATTAAACACAGCAACAAGCATTAAAATAGTTTAATAAATTAATCATTAACAATTAAACACAACAACATAGTCTTTCTAAAGGGGTTCATGCCGTTTGCATGCATGTGTAATATCTAACTTACTACCCATACGATGCCAATGATTACAAGAAACAGTTCCATATTTTGAAATGCTTGGGTTGCTAATTCGGATTAGTTAATTTATTAGTAAAAGTTATGCGGACCTACATTAAAAATATTCCTTATTTCTAGCAAAATTGAGTCTAGAACATATCAAAGTTACAGCTCGATATTTTGGCAAGACTATTAATCTTATGAATCGTATCCATGTTATGGCAGTAATAAAAAACCCTTTCGGGCATATTCACTATGGTCTTGGGTCATAAGGAGTTGCATCAAATCCAACATATCTGTTGTTCTTCCGATGTTGAAAACCTTGCCCTGGCTTAGCATTATAGTAAATTACCCTTCTAATTCCAAAGGGATCAATGTAGCCAAAACTGCCGGATTTCTCGTTATCTCGGTTCGTTTCTTCTTCGTGGTAGGCTCTTGGAATATAATATCTAAAGCCATCATTAGTGACAGACACGCCATCATATTCAGTATGCTGACCGTCATAACCGTTTCCAGTTCTCGACTGTGAAAATCGTTTGTTCCCTCTATACGTATGTCCGTTGCGATCTATGGGATAAGTTGGTCCATTTTGAAAAAACACTCCTTGATTAAGGGGATTTACATAGCTGTTATAATCTAAGGAATTTTGATCCCTTTCGTTGTAAGCAGGCAAATCATCGTATGGCGAAGCAGCAAATTTAACACCCGCAGAAAATGATTTATCAGTTGATGTTTCCGGGAACTGTAAGTCGTTGACTGCTTGGGCACTTGTTTTGAGGTATTCCAAAGGAAGTCCTGTTGTAGACGGGCGAACAGTACTGCTAAGTACCCCCAACAGACTAGAAATGCCTCCAGGAGTTATGTCGACTAAAGGCGCTTCAGTAGAACTCAAAATTGGAAGACTGGTAGAAATTGGCAGAGCATTATTTGATATTTCTACATGAGGTCCAATAGTGGAAGATACGAAATGTGCCACATCGGGTTTGTAGGTCGTTGGTGAAATAGCACAAGATGCACATGGAGTGATTGCCGTCGAGATGGGTGGAACGGGAGTAGAATGCTGTACCGGAATAACTATAAATCAAGAGTAAAACAGACGATTTTTTATGATTTGCTTTTGAAATAAAATACTACCTTTTTGTGTTGCCTGGTTGTATTCATTGTTAACACCCGACGGACGTGGTTTGAACGATATCAACGTGTCAGCAGACGAAGTATATTTTTTGGCCAGCTTTACTGCTTCTCCCACAGGTATGTTACGTCCCACGTACAGATTTTTGCTTTTTGTAATTCTGTAACCTGCGTGGTCT